AGGAGAGAGAGGAGAGAGAGAGAGAAGAGACGGATTATGAGAAATTGTCATGGGGTGGTCCATTTCGATGTTTCCCCATACTCGCTCACATTGGCTAGATGTTCATGCCCGTTAGATTTATCATCCCTGCTGACCTTCCTTACACTCATGCCGATAAACTTTCAGAGTTTTATTCACGCAATACACTTTGGAATAAAATAAGTCAGAATTCAAGCGGAGGCCTCATGATTACCAGACGTACCTCGATTCGATTTCGTTTCAAAACAAGAATAGCATCGCGCATATCTGTTACCAAATCTACACACCCGCGCAACAATCCTTTCCATCGCGCAACATAATTCGTCATTTCCGACCAGCCCTGACGCAATGATCGACAGCGATCCAATTAAAAACTGAGTCCCGAGTACTATTTGAGACACCCAATAAATTACCCAATCAACGCTTTGTCCCCCCCCCCCTAAAAAAAAGAAGCTTATACATGGTGTTGCCGTTACGCCTAATCCTCACGCTCAGCCCGAGAAAGGTAGCCCTGAACCATCAGCCGGTTGGTGCAAATCACGGAGTGAATATGTGAGGGACGGGAGCTGAATGATTGCATGTTGTCAAGGATTGAGCAGACTTCCTTTCTGTGGCAATTCTTACTTGAACGGCGTTGTTGACCAAGCCGGTCACCGAGAGGTCGATGATGATAGCAGTTTGTCCGTTGTCGATGGCTGAGAGCGTGCACTTTCCTCGATCCAGCTCTCGATCACTGTCGTACTGGATCTTCCCTCGTCAGCTGCTGCCCGTCGCGCTCCTCCCGTCGTACTCCATCCTCCATGCACTGCCGTGTCCTCTGCGCTCTGCTCAGTCGGACTCGATGCTCCGTGCACTCCGGTGTCCTGTGCACTCCTCGGTACTCCTCCATGACTGTCTCGTCCTTTATACCCAGATTACTATCGCGTTGGTGTTCCAGGTGTGATAAGCATGGCTAGATAATTCGTCGGTGTGGCGTGATAGGCCTAGTATCTTTATCTGTATGATGACTCATGAGTGGCATCGGTCCTGGTTATTGACTTTCTCCCAGCTGGTTGTAATTGGGCCGGGTGCAGTGCTTATCACATTTGCTATCTTCTTGCCATCTGTCGTGCACACCTTTGTTCTGCTGGCAAGCTGAGGTACACTGTCCGGCGTCGGCGCTTTATTGCTTGGTTTGGTTGTAATCACGATATCTCGGGTATGTATGGTCCGCCATGGTCATTGAACTTCCCAGCTGTTCCTGTTTTGGCCGAACGCTTGTGATATTAGCGAATTCGTCAGTTATTACTCTGTTTGCTGGACGCTCATTTGTCCCAGCTGCCGTCCAGTATCAGAAGTCCCCGACCGTCGGCGTCGCTGCTCGTCAGGTGAATGCCAGATATGGGCATTGGCGTGTCCCACTCCGTCGGCACGGAACATCTGCTCTTCTGGACGTACATATTTGCACCTCCGATTCCGCAGGGAGGGTGACTGGGACTTTTGGTTAGCATCTGTCGGCGGCTGATAACTTCGTCGGCGTGAGTGTAATTTTGATGGCTTGACGCCTTCTATTTGCGGCACTTGCGGCATGATACGGCCCGAGGGGTCCCTGCGTCAGCTGTTTCTTGTTTGACATGCTCACACCGGTGTCGATCCACTAGGTCGAGGCGGTGCCGGTGGCGATATCCCAGGCGCAGGTGCAGAGGGTTGGCGCACAGGATGCCGGCCGATTGCGCTTTGGAGAGATAAAGTTCCGTTATGAGCTTTTCCTGTAGATGCGGGCGGGGAGGCGGCAGTGTTTACACCTCTGCAGTGCCAGGTGTAGCCCGTTTTTGACGTGGCCACCCAATTGGCGTGCGACCGATAAGAGGGGTCGGCGCTACGTCGGGTCCAGGTGGGGTAGACCATCTGCCGCCTGCGCCCTGTTGACCCGCGTTATCCATGAAGGTGTCGGGAATTGAAGCGCCGTTCTTCTCAGATGATTTCACTTTTGCGTGTTTGGCTTTTAGTCTCACACCAATATGCATGCCTTATGATTCTGTCAATTCCTATAAGCTGTGATTCGAAAAAAATGTGGCCTCCGTCACAGTTCTTTCCGTGGCCGGTCAGGCGGGCCGAGAGCGCCGGGTCTGCGAGTCGATAAGGGTCATTTCACGCTTCTGTGTGGCTGACTTTGGTCCATCGTGACACTGAGCTGTGTAATTGCGCCTTATTGTCGGCTGTGGGAAACGCATATTATTGTTTGGAAATATTGCTCCACTAGATATTGTTCTTTTGGCATTCAGCTTTCACTGGAACTCAAAAATACATGTTTATATTTTCAAGAATGTCTGGGACAGCCCGTTGAATAAAAAATTATTAAGTTTTTACAAAAACGCAATTTTCAAAAAAGGCCGTCGATCGATTTTGATAAAAATTACATTTTTGGATTCAGCTCACCGTCAGCTTTCGAATGGTATAAATCGTTTCTTTTGAGCCTGAGATGACCTTCCGACGAACCGTGGTCTCAGTCTAAGGGTTCCCAAAAGAGGGTGAACTCTTCTCTGGCCGACTTTGACAAGCTGCCTCTCAACCTCCTCGGGGTCAAGCTCGAGGGCAGCCTTCTGGTGAATGAAAATGAGTAGGAAAATGAGTGGGAGTAGGAGATATGCGACAGACGGTCTGAGAACGAACGTTCTGCTGATGCACTTGATACGGGAATCGTCAAAAACAGGCGTACTATTATAACCGCCTATCATGAATATTGCACCGGTCTTCTGTTCCCATTTCAACATCAGCCAAATTTTGTGGGGCAAAAACATAGTCTTGCCCCCACGGCCTCCTGCCAGTGGGGGCAGTCTGCCCCCACTGCCCCCACGGTGGCGCCGCCCTTGCACGGTAGCCCTGGTTTTCGCCGACGTAGGCCGGACGTAATCTACATTCTACCGAACTGTAGTAATCACTTATCAGGACTGAGGCATGCGGTATGGTATATCTATATACGACGATAGAGCCCAAGCCGGTCTCTGAAGACCTACCTCACTTCAGTCTCTGAAGGCACGCCGGTCACTTCCGCTGGTTTGCTTGTTATGTTTTCGTGGCCTGCCGCTAATAGTGATATCGGCCGAGTGGTAAGCGGTCGCTTCCCAAGCTGGTCTCTGAGGACCTTAAATCAACATCGGCTTTAGAGAACCTCACAGTACACCGACCCGGACCCCTGCACATCGCTCACGGGCCTTTGAGGAACCCATAAGGGTTCTGAATTCTGATGATCCTGCGCCGGGTTCCAGAGACCCCAAGACGGACTCGTAGCGCGTGGCGTCCTCAGGGGTCTCCGAGCGGGCCGGTTTGATGGGCAGTTTGAGTGTCATAACGGGTTCTGAGAGCCGGCCATGACTAACTAGCTCTGAGAACCACCACACTGGCTCCCGAGCGACCCCAATGCCCGTTGGGCTTAGGTATATCGTCAACCAAACGTAAATTGGTTCTTTTCTTTTTTTCAGGTCACCCAACGGAGCTCAGACAAGAATAGAGTTCCAATAATATGAATAGTTCGGAATTTTATTTTATTTCTTTTAGTGAATGCAAGCCAGCACAAATTGTTATACCTAACTGATGAGTGCCGCTATACCATGCCATTTTCGTTAGTCTCCTGGTTATAACCCGATTTAATTCCGCTCTACTCTCCATGCCATATGTCCTACAGATGCGGTGCCAGCGATGAGTGCGAAAGGCCTCCTAGCTGGCGCTGCTGCTGCTGCCGCCGGCTCGGTCGCTGCTTCTGCCGCCGGCTCGGTCGCCAGCTCTGCCACCGGCTCTGAGGATGCGGCTGCCGCTGCGGAGGCCAGCGCCGTGCGGCCGGCGGCGGCGCCCCCTCCGGCCGGACCGGCCGCACTCGGCAACCCAGTGGCGCTGACGTCCTTCTCCAAGCTGGTCTCCGCCAGGAGGAAACTGGTGAGCGAAGCGGGCCGCTGCCACGGCCGCCAGCTATGATTATGAGGGCCCGAGTCATCACGGATGGTAGTTTGGTGTGTCTTTTGGTGCTCTGTGTTTTATTGTCACGGTACGATGAAATGTAGGTGATGCATGTTGAATGATGTATGGGTGCTATTAACTAGATGTGATTTTTGAGATTGAGAATAACCCGCCATGTTCCGTAACTTGCGGTAGATTTTGCGGATTTTGTATCTTAACTAACGGTATATTTTTGGTAATTTATGTTGCAATTAACAGTAAATTGACGCTGAGTTGACCAACATTGATACAGTCAACACGCTTTTGTTGTTGCATCAATGTAACTAGTTGCAACAAAAATCTTCATCGACACTTAGCTTGCTTTTAACTGAATAAGTATGGTTTTCCCGTCATCCAGTTTCGTTTACAGGTCCGCATGCTCTTCTTTGCAAGCAATGGAGCTTGGTTTAACAATCGTGTATAGAAATAAACTAGACTCGAAAGCTACCTTGCTAATAACTAAATGCGTTCTGTATCGTAGGCTGTTGTACGAGGCTGTTGTCTCGTATGTGGGCTAGCGGGGGTGTTGCCATAAGTGACCAATAATTCGCCGGGAAGGGACTCGGCTAATTGTATGTCGTTTTATCTCGCGCACCGGACTCAGGGTCGATGTAATGGTGGCAGCGTCATATGCCAACCATCATAACTCAAACTATGATCCTGGCAGAGTCAGATGACAGATCTGATGGCGACAACCCCGTTCAGTTCCTATAAACAAAAATGACATGCTATCCTTTGCTGAGGCCATGGTACTCGATGTTGTGCTGCACCCGTTGAGTAGCGTTTGGAGCCCTGCAATGACCTGTGGCCAGTGACCCGTGCTCTTCCTAACTCGTCGCTCCCGTCTTATAGAATGTAGCCAATACCTGGAGAAAGTCGGCCATGGGATCGGTCGAAAGCGAGCCGCCCGTCCAAGTGGTAAGATATGCTGAATGATTTTTGTTCGAAAATATGTCCGATCGTCAAAATTGTACAAATCTGGGTGACTCGTCCGGGCGCATCGGCATGATACTTGTTCATAAGCACCTACCGTTTAAGACCGGATGGGAGCATGAGGATTTAGCGTTGCTTGCTCTACCGAATTTACATGTTTGTAACGGTTGATGGTCTCATGCCCTGAACATATGGCTGTCCGTTTCCCGTGAAAATCGTGCGACTTGCGTTGTCCGTCATGGCGAATATCATTTCAATATTATCTAGTAGACATAGTATTATGTTTTCTCATAGGTAAAATACGCAGTGCGTACTACCAACCACTGTCAAGTGTCAACCCATCGCCTAATCTATGTGATTTCTTTGTAGTTTAATTTTTAATGTTCCAGCTTGATATCAACGCCTAAATTTTATAAGTGCTGAGCTTGGGTCCAGGCAAAATCTTCAATTTTTATTTATTTTTCCAAACAGAGGGGAAAATCCGATCAGGGGTCCGATCTGAACCGTGCTCTTGTGCGGTCACATATTCTGCCTACAGTCTACATACTGTGCCGCATTGCTCCGGAGCAGTGCGGGACAGCCTACCGATTCAGGCATCCTGCGGTCTCCGAGCATTCGATGGTCGCCGTCTGGTACCTTTCTGCTGATTGCTGACTCCAAAACCGCCTAGCTCTACTCATACGGTTATCGATATAGGCACTGCTGTCAAAGATATGGTGCTAGGAATGTATTTTCAAAGTGTTGCATTTGGTCGGAAGTTCCACTCAAACAGCTAATTGGTTGCGTACGTATCTATTAATTGACAGTTTATCCTACGCAATTGCTTTGTGGTTATCCAGTAAAACTAAAAACATCTCCAATGAGACCCCTTGAACCGTGCATGTATCAGTGTTTCCTTTTGTTAATTGCTTTTGTTTTGTTCATACCACATTGTCTCTGTCATGCACACATGTCACTGACGTCCGACAGACAAGAGCTGTCTTTTGATCTTGGTATGAAACGACTCGACACTATCTGCATTCTGCAAGTCATCAGAAGAGCAGCCTGTCAAGCTGGAGTGACCACCTCGTAATGTGGTGTTTCAAACCGGGCTCGCTAAACACAACCTTGAACCTAAAGTACCAATGGCTCATTCGTGTCGGTGGAGGCGGGGGGGGGGGGGGCACTCGTATACGCTGTTTACATTCCTGAAATACATTAAGTAGGTTTCAATCGTGCCTTACGTGTGTGCTACTTTTGTTCTCATTCTTTCCCTTTAACTTGTTCGTAAATTTTTCGTCTCGGTTGTTGACCGACGGTAAAATGTTCGTTTATCGTGTCGGGGAGTCAGGTGGTGCTTTTTCTGACACCGGGGTTTGTGTCACTGACACCTGACTGTGACACCTCTGACACTAGACTTTAAGCCCGGGTATAGCGTCCCCCCACCTCGGCCCCCTCTGGCACCTCTGACATTAGACTTTAAGCCCGGGTATAGCGTCTCGCCACCTCAGCCCCCTCTGGCACCTCTGACATTAGACTTTAAGCCCGGGTATAGCGTCCCCCCACTTCAGCCTCCCCTCTCCGGGCGGTGTTTCGACAGAAACAGGAGGCGCCCAGCCTGCCGCTGCGCCGCCAGGAGCTGGACGGCCGCAGCGAGTACCTGCTGCGCTGCCTCTCCACCTGTACCGGACTCGGCTGGCATGAGCTGCTCGATATCGTCTACGAGGAGAAAATGGTCAGGAGCCGCCCTCTTTGCTGGGTGATCCTACCCGGTGACGTGTACCTTGAAGCATAGCCCGTATTCTTTTACTTCTTATTTTCATTTACGAGCGAGAACTTCGAGCCTCATTTGTAATCTCAATACACCGGACTCGAGTGTACTGTATCCGTGTAGTATATCGATATCGATATCGATATATCGTATATCGTATTCGTGTAGAGCAAGCCCTTTTTCTGAGCATAGAAGCAACCATAGAATAAGACACTCGTAGCGTAGCGAACCTAGTTCTACCCCCAGGACTGTCTGTGTCACTCACCGTGCCTGGCGCTAAGTTTTATCCTTCGTTTCCCAGCTGTCTCGTCTGGAGGTGCTGTTCATGGTGAACGGCCCTCAGCGCCTGCTGTGGTTCTGCCAGCCGCCTCACGCGCCGCCCGGACCGCCGCCACCGGACCAGGTGAGGGGATTATCCCAGGACAACCGAGATTAAAAGAGAACAGCAAGCGAGGTCCTGGACTCTTAATTAGTAAGCTGAGCACGGGAGGTTCTCGGGTTTAGACTATTGTACCTCTGTGGCACGACGTGCTCCGGTGATATATGCGCACGTATGCACGTAGGTACACATCAGCGGCGTGCCACATCTAAATTGTATTTTATTTGTTACATGATCTCGCTACTTTGATACAGCGTAGTACCTGTGACTAAATTTCTGGGATGGGATTTGGGAACCTGGCACAGCGCTGTCAGGGTTTCCTGGGTTAGCGTTGGAGCTGTCTCCGGCCGCCGAGCGCTGGCCTCCAACCAAGGTGAGTCCAATCGACCCCACAGACCGCCGGGTGCCTGGCACCAGGTGATATCGGGCCGGGCCGCTCCGGACGGCACGCGAGCTGCCACCGCCGATACCGGCAGGCGCGTCACTCGTGAGTGGGGAATAAGGCGACCGAGGATGATTTGATTATTTTTCACATTATTTGCTCATGATCGTTTTTTATTTTATCTTAGACTGGCTCTCAGACGTAGCAATGTGTCGAAAAAAACCTGTCGTCTTAATTTTTTATATTATATCACTTGATATGGCAATCATTTTGTGACATCACATTAGATTTTCCATAATTTCTTTTACGTGGTGCACTTTCTCTCCGGTCACATCGTCATTGAGTTTTAGCTCGTCATCCTCTAGCGTCAGTTAAAGATGGCACACCATATCACTGCTCCCACCGGCTCAGCACCACCGGATTTAGCCGATTACCGTGGCTCTTCAGCCGTCTGATGTGGGCCCACCCCGTTACCTACGCCCTACACCCGTGTTTTTCCGTACCTTGAGACGCTTCCAGCGTTATTTGACACCTTATCAGATCAGATATCTCAGTTCCCCCTCCCTCCCCCAGCGATCCGGCTCTCGGGCGGTGCGCGGCGCGGCCCACTCCAGTCGTCAGAACACCCTGCTGTTGACTGACGGCGTCTCGGTACCTCTCCGGGGCATAGCCACCGCCATGACACGCAACTCGAACCAGCGCGCCATCACCGACGACAACGCACACAAGGTGGGAGCGTCGGCTGGGTGCAAAGTGTGACGGCCGGACCGACGTTCGCACCGGTCCGATGTCGAACAGCATGGAACCGAAGTACTGTAGGGTGTAGGTTCTGCATTGTTTCATGCACGATATACTCGAACCCCTCTCTCGTTCCTCATTATGCCGTCTCCCCTTTACCGTCTCCCCAGTAACGTCTTCCCCATACGGTCCTCCCTGTACCGTCACCTGCCCCCCCCCCCCCCCAGCCGTATAGGGCGGTGTACTGTATCCTCCCTCCTGTACCGCCCGTCCTCGCCGCAGGAGGTGCTGTTCTGTACGCTGCCCGGCCGCGGCGACAGCCTGCTGCAGGCGGCCGAGCGTCTGCTCCGACTGGTGTTCATCCCCGTCATCAGCCGACACCCGACCGAGCTGGACGGGACGCCGGCGGGCCGCGCGTGCCGCCACCAGCTGCTGCTGGCCCTCTGTACCACCGCATCGATATTCCACGGTAAATGACGGATAACGTACCGTACAGGGGACTAGAGCTGACCGCAACCAACAATGCAGTGTATAGTATTGTGGTGCAGCTGCTTAGTGCCTACCTTTAATAGCACGTCTCTTTTCCTTGAATTGAATGCTCGCTTACCACAAAAAAACTATATGATTACTCCATGACACTTGATCCCCGAGCTCGGCAGAGTATGGTGAGTTGTTACCATTGCGTTACCTTTGAGTTACCAGTTACCAGTTACCTGCGGCGGTGCACTACCAATGATTTACCAGTGAGCTGCGTGTGCCCGGCAGTGACGGAGAGCAGCATCAGACAGCAGGTGGTGTTTGAAGACATCCCGCTAGACCTGTCCTTTAGCACACCGGCAGAGGCCATGGCGCTCTATAAGGACAAGTACAAGCTGATTGTCATGGAGCAGTACGTCAACATATGGGTCCGACAAATCGAGGAGGTAGGGCGCGATGAAAAGACCTGAGATCGCTTTTGAAAGGGATGCATGTAAAAAACTTTTAGTACGGTGCCTCTGCCTGCAATGTAGTTGCAACAATCAAACAATACGTTGATCGAGCAGACGCAGTGGCTTTCGTCGTGCCTGTACTGAGGGATATTTACAGTGTACCAAAATCATATTTTTGCTTGGGTGTCAGAGGGGAAAATTGCTGACCAAAAAAAGGATGAGAGTGAAAAATTGTCGGTTAGGTAAGGCCCAAAAAGAGTGGGAAAATGATCAAAAACATTAATCTATCTACAATTGTGACAGATGTAAAACAACCATTCCCGCAATTGCTCCTTCTCGGCGGAATTGGGAGTGGAAAATTGGGCTTGAAAACTGAATGTGAGAGTGGAAAATGATTTGCATTTGGATGTCGTTTCCCACCCACATCTACAAATTTTGGGACACTGGATATTTATCCAAACTATGCTTCCTATTCGTGCAACTATTATAGGTATGCCAATGCCTTCAACAATGCCGCCCGCTGTGTACAGGTACTGATGCAGAGTGAACTGCTGCGTAAGGAGGGCAACGAGACGGGGCCACACAAGGAGCTCGAGTACTGGAAGGTCCGCTCGTCCGTCATCGATTCCATCATCGAGCAGCTCAAGCTGCACAAGGTCGGAGCGGGGTGTCCGATATACCTTACTTGTGCGAGTGTTTGAAATAGTTTGAAATTTGAATACTGAACAATGAACATACCATATAAGTAACGTAATATCTAATAATGCGTAGACGATAGAGGTACTAAAACTTCCTACAAGCCCATTGTCGGGTTATGCAATATGCGCTCTGCTTTTCATGAACCTAGCTTTTTTATTACGATAACCATACGGCATTCGTTACTTGTTTATCACATTGCCGCCAGGTAAAGACGGCCGTATTCTGTCTCCAAATGAACCACTACCCGATCATCAAGCTGTGGCGTCGGACGGACCGGCGCATCACGGACGCCTTCAATGAGGCCCGGGACAACATTCGCTTCATCTACTGCATCGAGAAGCACCTGCACCCGCTGACGCTCGGCTCGCCGGTCAGTCACTTGGCATTCCCATTATTTTATTTTTCCCGAAATATTGTTTTGCCGGTTAACCGGTCTCCATGGAGTTTAAATTCATAAACTAACGTTTACGGTTTGTTAAGTTATCAGTCATCCCACATGTATAGTTCGATCTGGGTAAATGGGCGGCCCTGGTGGCGCAGTCGGTTAACCCGGCGGCCGCTGGGCCTTCGCGCCACCCGCCGGCCGCTGGGGGGGGGGGGCATAAAGTTGCCCCCCCCTTTACTTCTGCGACGATATCGTCGCAACGCGAAGAGATAGAGAAGCGAAACTTCGCACACATCTTCCTGAATACCTAGCCGAGGTTGTGTCCAAATTTGGTGTCGATCCCATTTGAAATGACGTCACAGTGACGTCATAAGTGAAATTATAGATTTGCGACTCTCATATTCCTCACGATACATCACATATATGGGACCGAATATAAAGGGCCGATTATTGGTCAGAAACTAGATGGAAGTGTAGTAAGATGTTTTAGGATGACAGCAGGTGCTGTCTAGTTCATTTACAGTCGAGTTTCATGCTCAGCGTCATCAGAAACGGTCCATATCGGAAAACGACAAAACTTTATGACGTCACTGTGACGTCATCTTAGGCGCTACAACCACCAAACTTTCCTCAAACATTGCCTAGGTATTCATTTGAAGCTATGCCAAGTTTCACGTTCGTAGCTCATCAGGTTTCGGAGATATTTCACAAAACGTAAAGGGGGGGGGGCAACTTTATGCCCCCCCCCCCCAGCGGCTCGTGGGTTAAGGCATCGACCCGCGGTGCGGGCGGTGCCGGGTTCGGGTTCGATTCCCGGTTCCGCCCGTTCCGCGGGCGTCGTCCCCGGCTGTGTCACCAGGTGTGGGGTAGGCTCCCACTTCAGTCGTAGCCTGGGGGGTGGGGGAACAAGGGCCCTCCTGTAAATGGGACACAAGTGCCCGTTGGAGAGAGGTCTGAATAAAAAAAAAGTGTGAAGTCAGTATAGATCACCCGTTGAAGAATAATGCCGGTCGTATTGTCGACGGCGGAAATATTCCTTGGCTGGGCTGTATATAGAAATACTGTTGTAAATAATGTAAAAATGGCATACTCACCCTTATCTGGCTGATAACATAGTTATCTCCCGGCATGGTCTCATCTGTGTTTATCCCTATTTTCTGTTGGCAGCCGGAGATGGTCGGTAGTATCGCCGGCCTGTTCAACGCCGTGAGAATGATCCACAGCGTGTCACACTACTACAACTCCTCAGAGAGGATGTCTGCTCTGCTCATCAAGGTCAGTGCAGGTCAATCTCTTCGTGGCTGTGGGAAGAAAGCGGAGCGACCAAATTACATACAACTTGTAGTGGTATATTGATTGTTGCAGCTCAATTCATCCATTGATGATCGAAACGTGCGCTCCAGAGTTTGGTTGCTGTGATACATCTTGCAGCGTTGCCATATAGCGTTGCCATCATTGCCATTGCCGTTTCCTTTTACAGGTGACAAACCAGATGATCGTGTCCTGTATGGACTACATCAGTGACCGGGGCCGGTACACCATCTGGAACCAGCCCGAGGAGGACGTTCGCTCCAAGATTCGGGACTGCATCTCACTGAGGGACCATTACCACGCCGGTTTGGAGCGTGCCGAGGTGGGTGGGAATGGCGCCGCTCGGGCGGGTTACTTCCCCGCGGTGTACGGGGCCTGACCCGGGCGCCTGCGCCCGGGTCAGACCGAGACGCCTGTGTTCCTCCGCTGGGACCTGCTTGGACCTATACCGCCAATCGACAGTTTAGACAGCCCCTGCGGTGTTGGCCAATGGATTAGTGTTGACATGTCTAGCTAAGCCATCTCCAGCAGCCTGTCTAACTATAACACGCCCTCGACTCCCTCCCCAGACAACCCTGGAGAACGTTGGTGACCGTCCGTTTGAGTTCAGCAAGGTCTACATCTTCGGCAAGTTCGACGCCTTCTGCTCTCGGCTGACCATGATCACCAACCTGTTTGATTCAATACAGGTCTACTCGCGACTCTTCAACTCACGAATCGAAGGTGAGAAAACGCTCCAATTATATAACTCATTTCAACTAGTTCCGTTTCAAAGATACGCATGTTAATCATGAAAAGTCATGTCGCATGTCGGAAAGTTGTTTTATAAAATCCGCAATCGATATTATCCAATCGATGCATTGCAAGTGAGAATGTCACGAATATGGCCCCTAAAATACATCGGCTTGCATGCTTCCATGTAGCTTCCAATTTTCATGCAATTCATCTGACGCGGTCTTTTCATTTTCAGTTTCATTCGCAGTTCCTTGATATCCAAGTCGGAATGTGTTCTCGTCTGACTCCAGTATGCCATCACTCACAGGACTGTTGCAAGGAGTTCCCAGTAAGTAACGTGCTTTGAGGTGGGGTTTCGGTGGTTTCGCTTTAAACGCAGGACATGTGATGCTGATGGTATTACGACTTACGAGTCAGTCTCTTCATGAAGTTACCTGGTACTCGATAAGACTTATGGCTGTTCAATGATTATGTTTCATTTTACGCATGGGTCGAAGCGGCCCTACGAAAAGTTATGGACGATTCGAGGTAAAGTGTGCATTGGTAAAAGGGCGTAATATTACCTTAATTTCTACGTTTTATTTTTCCTACGTTTTATTTTCGTGAGCACTCTCCCAAGCTCCCTCAAAATGAGAAACAGGAGTTTCAGTAAGTACAAATTTAGCGTTATGATGTCCAGCATCTTCAAACGTTGATTTCTAATAATGTGACCCTGCCCAATAGGTCCTTAGTCGCTGACCTTTAGTGGTAGATGAGACTCGTCCAATTCACGCTGCCCAACACCCGTAACCGCTGACCTCTAGTGGTGGAGGAGATCATCACCATGTTCCGCCAAATGGTGGACGACATCACCCAGAAGAAGTACGACTACCTCGACTACAAGAGCACCCAGTTCGCCTCTGACTACGCCGAGTTCCGGCGCGGCTCGGCCTCGCTGCTGGCGCAGATCAGAGGCACGCTCGAGCAGGGCTTCCACGATGTCTGGGAGACGCCACAGGCGTTCTATTTCCTCGGAAGGTGAGGCAGCAAAACACGGAAGATGGGTAGTTTCGTAGTTCAGCGAAATGCAGTCATTTACCAAATACACCTCTTATGCTACATTTACTTGTCTGGTCTGGTGTATACCAGACACTAGAGCTTTGTAAGATCACACTTCGAAATTCCTTATCGACAGGTTTGGAAATGCAGTAGTAGACAGTGGTCAGGTTCTGGCTTGGGCACGGATCACTTCACCGATTTACCGGCAGGTTTGAGAAGGTGGCCGCGGTGGTGCCCGGTCTGAACATGGCCGACAAGCACCAGCGTATCGCAGAGTACTACAGCCGCCTGGTGGCCACCATACAGCGGCACTACGTGCTGCACAAGGACAGCCCGCCCGTCGCCTGGAACGAGCCGCCGCTCGCAGGTACCGGCTCACGGGGAACGTCAGTATCTAAATACGACGGCATTGCAAAGTCACCATTTCAATTAGACCTTACGACTTTCATGTGGTTTCTTTACTTTATTGTGACTTCATTATACCGGTAAGATCTTATTGCAATTATTATTATTATTATTATTGTTTATTCAGCATCGTCATGCGACAAAAAGATACATACCCCCCCCCCTCCCACCCACCCACACACACAGTTAATCAGCACTCAGGAGGTTAGTAGTCTTAACAGGCGCCGCGAGGCCTGACAGTTGCTTGCCAAAACCATCTTCAAACTGTCTATAAGACCACTTTCTTGGAGTGGTGCCCGGACTATGTCGTGATCGACGTACCCAGCAGCGATGTGCATGATAGCGCCGAAGTTCCCACCACACAGATTATATACGTGGCCAATAAACGACCCATCCAACTGCTCGGGGTACGTAGCAAGTCTGGCCAGTCCAGTGACGTAGGCTTGGCGAAGACGGTGGTCAGCGCGGAAAGCATTACGGAATGCGCGGAGGGCATCACCTCGCAGCACCTCACCGATGCGAGGCACCCCAGCAGCAATCAAAAGAGCCGTATGGTGCGCAGAACGCGGCAGACCCAGCGCTGCCTTGATCAGCGAAGCCTGTCGCGAGTCTAGACGCTCAATGTCGGCGGAACTGAGGGGAGCCGTCTCACAGCCGAAGATCAGTGCCGGCAGCACTACTGTCTTCCAGAGGAAGATTTTGTCAGCAGCAGTCAGGCGGTTGGTGAAATTGCCCAGGGGTGTGAGGCCATAGAATGATGCACAAGCACGCCTGATGCGCTGAGCCACGTGGCTGTCTGTGCTGAGGTTGTCATCAAGCACCGTACCGAGGTGCTCGGTCGTCTGCCGGATCTGCAGCTGCTGTCCTGACAGTGTCCACCTCGGTGTGCTCGTGAATAGTTCCTGTCCAAATATAATACAATGGCTCTTGGTTTTTCCCGGTTCAGGGTGAACGAAGTCGAGGCGCCAAGTAGCCGCGAATTCTCCCACCATCTGTAGCATTGCACCGAGGTCACGCGCGTTCGCAGATATAAGGAGAATATCGTCAGCGTAGCAGATAGCGGGTACGTGCTGGCTGTGTAGATATGCTCCACGACCGCTGCGATCTAGGACCTCAATAAGAGGTAAGAGGAAGATGTTTGCAAGGGTTGGCGATAAGATGGCCCCTTGTCTGGTGCCCCTGCAGACCAGGAACGCTTCAGATGTGGCGCCACCAAAAGTCACCCTTGCAGAGAGGTGGCGGTACCAGGTGACCATGAGGCACCAGCAGTAGTCGCTAAGATAATCTTCCAGACGGAAGAACAGACCGTCATGCCATATTCGGTCAAAGCATTTCCTCGCGTCAAGGTTTGCGACAAAAACAGGAAGACCCCTGGCTCGATTCTGCTGTATGGTCTCTCCAGCCAACAGAGACGCTTGCATGGTGCCCCGATTGGAGATAAAACCAAACTGCAGATGATGAGGTTCAAATGAGGCGTTCAGTTCGTCTAGCACTAACAGCTCGAGCAGCTTAGATGCGCAGGTTGTGATTGAAATCGGTCGATAGTTGTCCAAGCAGTTAGGGTCCGATTGAGATTTCTTCAACACGGGTACAATAACGCTGTCAGCGAAGGTAGCTGGCACGCTACACGTGGACAGGCAGACAGAGAGAAGGTGCGCCAGAGCTGACAGGAGACAAGGCGACTGACCATAGAGAAGGTGCTCCGCCGTGATGCCGTCTATACCAGGTGCCTTCCCACGCTGTAACCGGTGAATGAGGCCTGCTACTTGTCCAGCTGAAACCGTTCTTTCGGATGCATCGTTACGGATTCTCCTTAGTCGAGAATCTACATGTTCAGCAATTTGGAGCTGGTCCAGAGTCAGTTGCCTGTGACTATCTTGGTGCACAGTCTGGAAGTGGGTGCGGAAGTCGGCGGCGGATAGATCAGAGGCCGACTTGAGTCCATTACGCCGTATCTGTTGCACACGTCGCCAGAAGGCTGTCAGATTTTTGTCACGGCGGAGCAGTCGGAGAGTGTGGGCCTCGCTCTCGATCCGCGTCACTGCTGCACGTCTGCGGGCGTGACGGTAAGCAGATCTTGCAGCCTGATAGCACTGTGCCACTGCTGAGAGGGTAGGACGGCCACAGTGTACCCATATCTGATGCCAGAAACGAGTGCGATCCCGCGCCACTGCCACATCAGGCGACCACCAGGGCTTCGGGGGACGTCGCGACTTGGAGCATCCGGCGATTCGCGCAGCGGTATGTATGCATCGTGTAATTGCTTCGTCAATCTCATCCGGGGTGGCACCGTTGGTGAGCTGACAAGCACCAATAAGCTCGTCCAGAGAAGACAAATATATCTGCAGTTTTTCTGGACAACTCCAATCTAGTACTTCTGAATGGATGGAACCCATATTCAGTGGAGGGCTGGAGACATCGAGACTGGTGCCAGCTGAGGCAGACGGCAGCACCACGCTGCAAAGGACCGGAAGATGTGGGCTCAGGTTGTCCACACAGGGGGCTACGATGCGACAATCATGAACTTGAGGTACCAGACATTGCGGTACAGCGATGTGATCGATGTGCGATTGGCCGTCAGCTCGAGCATAGGTGTACGCCACTGGTTGCGAGAACCGGAACTCGGCGACTGTCAGTCCGTGGTCGTCCAATAAGTCTTGCATTAGAAGACTCAGCGGAGAGAAACCCCGAAGACGGTGCCAGCCCGGTGGGCGCAGTTCTGGTGACAGTGGTGGCAGAGCACAGTTAAAATCGCCTACAAGCACCACTGGAGCTGAGGGTCTTAGCGAAGAGAGTAATGCATCAAGCTTCCCCGTCAGGATTGTGTACTCTTCAAAATTTACGGCAGATGAATTCCAGTACGGCATGTAGCAGCCAATTATCGTTATAAGAGGACGGCTCAGCTCCACAATCGTAACTCCACAGATACGAGAGTCATTACACTCTACAGCGCGAAATGTGCGCCCCGCTTGACGGCGGCAAACAAAAGCCACGCCACCGTGGGGTCTGCCATCTCCAGTCCCTGGTGGTAGTTCCATGGCGAATTCTTGAAATACCTGAAATTCTTCGGAGCTTAGAGAGGAGAGTGCATGCTCCAGATAAGCACCCTGGGCACGGGCTAGCCAGGTTTCGCATAAAAATAAGATATCACATTCAGGTATTAGACAGTCGGCGATATACTGCGCTCCTGCGAGAAATCCTTCGCAGTTATAAGTGCCCAGAGTGAGGCTCATGTTCAGAGTTACTTTTGCGTCCACAGCATTACGGCACTCCGCTCTGTCATGCTTCACAGCGGTGGCAGCAGGACAGGGATGGCCCCCAGGAGTAGCCATCTGGGCGCTATTCCCAGGAGGTGGCCTCTCGTGCGCGCTGATAGGGCCACCCACGGTATCCGGATCCGTCACATTGCGAAGCAGTCGCCCTCCAGCCGTTGCCACCGTGTGTGGCGCCTCCTCTGACGTGACGGGAGGCAGCTGGAACCCAGGGAGCGCCGGCGTCCTGTTCGCTGCCTCGACTAGGGGCGCCTGGGCGGTGAGAGGCGGTTGTTGCCCAGTGTCCGTCTCCATCACGGCGCTGATAGGTTGACACCCATGCATTGTCATCTTGGTGT